TCAGCAAAGCAGAGCGAGCTTAAGGCTGAAGCAAGGGTGATGGGAGTCGTCCGGCCCGTCACGCAGACCGAGAAACAAGCAATGCGCAGCGCCTTCGAGCAAGCCTACGGTAGCATTGAAGAAACGGTGGAACCCTCCGATGATTACATTTCTTCACAGACTGAGGAGATAGAGAGTGGGGAAGTGCTGGCCTCGGTTCTCTCTGAGGTCACGTCGAAACGGAGTGCTCGTACAATGGGCATCCAGACCACCGTGGACACCACGGGCCATGTGCGTCTGATCAAACAAAAGAGCAAGGGTGAAATGCCACAGAATACTGAGCACTTTGAGGATTGAGGGAAACATGTGGTGCTTCTTGAGCACCAAATACAAGAACAAGGTCTTCTTCCAGGGGATGACACCCGAGATCTGGCTGACCTACGCCAACTACCTGCTAGGCGACAAGTGCTATCTTATGCAGGTACCCACTCCAGGAAAAGGCAAAGGCTTCGTCCTCCATGGATTGTTGTCTTGAATTATGAATACGAAATGCGTCGAGAAGCGGTTAAGAGGGCGAGTCGTGAAAGTCGTTCTCTCCATGATACCCTCACGGAGGTGATGAAAGATTTTCAGTTGAAAGAACAGTACTTTACGGCCCCCATCGCCCTCTCGGCCCGGGACTCATCTCCTTGGAAGAGGCAGCAGTTCTGGGATCAGGACGACAACAACAAGTGGCAGAAGAATGACGGCAAAGGCCCATGGAAGGGAAAGGGAAAGAATGGAAAGGGTAAGAAGGGCGAGAAGGGCGACAAGGGCAACAAAGGCGGTGGCAAGTCGGAGGGCAAGTCTGGCAAGGGCACTACGGGCCGTACCGCAGACGGCCGATTGATATGTTACGCCTACAACAATGAAGGATGCGACGGGAAGTGCGGCATGGTGCATTGCTGCCAGGTCCGTGGCTGTTATGGACCGCACCCAACGTGGAAGCATTGGCAGGATTACTTTGCCAAGCTCACGGATAAGACGAAGACGGATAACTGACTTGCGGCTGAGGATTTTCACGTTTTGTACTTGTTCGCTGGGGTGCAGAGGTCTGGGGATATCCGCTCCTTCTTGACGCAACTGGTGACTGCTGAAGGCTATCATCTTGTTATGAGGGAGATTGATATCAAGCGAGATGCGACTCTGGACTTACTTGCTCCGGCCGTTTGGGAAAACATCTTTTCCGAGATCACTAATGGTGACTGGGATGTGGTCATGCTTTCGCCCCCTTGCTCCACATGGAGCCGGGCGCGCTTTCGGTATTCAGGCAAATTCGGTGCAAAGCCGCTGCCGCTGCGCAACTCAACTTACGTTTGGGGGTTTCCTTGGTTGGAGTCCAGCCAGCGAGAGCCGGCCGACCGCGGTAATTTCTTCATTCAGCAGTGCATTCGCGTGGTGCAGTTGCAAACAGCAGCTGGGAAGTTTTTCTTGTGGGAACATCCTGAGGATCTTGGGCTCACACGCAACGGTGAGTCTCCTGCAAGCATTTGGCAAATTTCCGATGTGCGTTCTTTGATCTCTTCAGCCGGCTCTACTTGGGCAGTGCATCAGTGTGAGTTGGGCGGCAGCACGGCCAAGCCCACGAGGCTGCTTTCAAACTTGCCTGCTGCCATGCCTTTGCATATGGGATGGCCAAGATTTCTTCCGGATGGACAATATGATGGACCCTTAGGGCGCTGCAAGCATGGATGGCACGAGCCACTGATAGGTTGGCAGGAGGGAGAATATCGTACTTCAGGTGCCGAGGCGTATCCGCCCCCACTGTGCAAATATTTTGCCAGGCTCTTGGTCAGTCCACTGCGTGTGCTCTCTAGTACGGACACCCTGCCGGCTTTCAACTTGCCCACGGCAGAGGAGATTGCAGCCATGTTGCCTCTTGAAAGCGTTAGCGTTCAGGATGCCGCTTCCTTGGTGCCACTGCTGGATCTAGAGGAGCCTCACTTGGCCGCGGGCACCCACAAAGGTGGGGCCTTCTTCGCCGGGGCATATGCTAAGGGCGGGCTCGTTGGGCTTCGCAAGGCCTGCCAACAGCAGCCTCATTGCACCAAGGTCTTTGCGCATCTTTTGGCCCGCCTCTTTCCGGGCTTTCATTTTACATCCTTGGCAGTGTTCGTGAATGTTCAGACAGCAATGCATCGTGACGTGCATAACGCCCCCTACCCCAATATAATCGTGGCACTCAGTGACTTCAAGAATGGGCAAATCTGGCAGGAGGACCCTTCCGGGCCAGTGTGGCGACAGGTCCAGGGCTCCGACAGGCCAGGGGTGCTTCTTGACGTGGGGCGCCAACCAGTTGTCTTGCATGCTCATACTTCTTTTCACGCTACTGAGCCCTGGGAAGGAAATCGTATAGTGTTAGTGGGATTTTCGGTGCATCACGTGCACCTTCTTACTGACGCCCACAAGGAGCTGCTTCATGACTTAGGTTTTCGCTTGGATCCTGCCTCCGTTGCACAAGGGGGAGAGGGAGCAGCATCACGCGAAACAGCTGCTCGCAGTTCTCAGGGTTCCTTGCCGCCTGGCAAGGCTACAGCATCAGGCGAAGCGGCTGCATGCAGTTCTCGGGTTTCTTTGCCCGCAGGAAAGGCAACAGCATCAGGCGAAACAGTAGCTCGCAGTTCTCAGGTTTCCGTGCCACCCCCAGGAAAGGTAGCAGCGTCAGGCGAAACAGCAGCTCGCAGTTCTCAGGCATCTCATCCGGGGGGGCCAGCCGAGTTGATGACTATGGGGATTGATTTCCAGAGCACCGAAGGTCTTGTGGTGGTGTCAGATACAGAGTCAGAGCCTGAGGAGGGGTCGTCGGCCGTAGTAGGTCCTTCTCCCCCCGCTGCCACTCCGATGGAGCCCGGGTCACTTAGCCAGGCCGGCGACCTAGGACCCAAGGTTTCCCCTAAGACCACGCCGGTTGCCTCGTTTGACCCTACGACGAGCCGAGCCTTCGGCCAGCGGTTGACATGTCGTCATTCCAAGGAGTACCACGAAGTCGTGGACGGTTTGGGTTTATGCTCTCCCGGAAGATGGCGGCCGGAGCAAAGGAGTAGGCTGTGCAGCTGACGGGAATCTAATCATGCCGAGGGCTTGCAGCGTATCATTCGCAACTTTGTGATTTCGGAGCTTGAGGATGTTAAGCTGATGACATTTAAGCTGGCGGCCGGTCGGATAGAGTCATCCCCTTTCAAACCTGAGGCGATGCAGCGGCTTCGGGAAGAGCTGGCATCTATGACGCCGGATCCCAAGTTGTCTTTAGTGGTGCCTGAGAGACAGCCGTTTTACTTGCATCTTCTGTCCCAATCCCTTCGGGAGCTTGGGGATCCGGACTGGTCCATCTTGACGCAGGGTGAGGAGTGCTTTGCGCGAGGTGTGGCTCTGGGGGATGAGAAGCCGCTCGAGCGAGTTCCCCAAGTCTTCCGCGAGAGAACTAAGGAGAGACATCTTGATGAGAGTGCTTACAATCCGGACATGGAAAATTATTCCTCAGCTGAGCTCTCGGGCGATCAGCTGGAAGCACACTTCCGCAAAGAAGAGGAACTGGGAAGGATGGTGCCTAGCACGGAGTCCGCGATTGCCGAGGAGTACGGCCCAGGCCGCCTTTTGATCAGTGCGATGGGTGCAATTGAGAAGTCGAATGGGGACATCCGCCCCATCCACGACGGAACACATGGAGTGCATCTTAACAATTCCATCAAGATCTTGGATCGGCTTGAAGTCCCGGGGCCAGATGAAATTCTCGAATGTGTTGCAGTCGCGCAGGAGACGCGCGAGGCCGTGTTTGGCATCTCAGCCGACATATCTCAGCGCACCGCTTAGCACTTGTGCGGAAGGCCGACTGGCCAAAGCTTGGTTGCCGAGCCCGATCCGGCGACTGGGTGGTTTGGATGAACACGGTGGGGACGTTCGGCGTCAGCTCGGCGGCTTACTGGTGGACCAGGTTGTTTGGCTGCGTCGGCCGCTGGGTCGT